AACAGAATAGAGCTATTGTTGAGGATATCCTTAGGATGAAACAGATCAGGGGAGAGCTCCATGAGATTTGGAAAAAAGCAGAAACTGCCATGTGGCAGAGATCTAGAGACAGGAAGATTAAAGAGGGGGATAGGAATACATCATATTTCCATGCTGTTGCTAACCAGGGTAGAAGAAAAAATCAGCTGTCTATCTTGGACGGCCCAGATGGACCTGTTTACTCCACCAAAGACATGCTGGGGTTGCAACTAATTTCTACAAAAACCTATTTGGGTTTGAACTTAAACCTAACATTCATTTAGATGACCAATTTTGGTCTGAAGAGGAACATGTGACAGAGGCTGAAAATACCATGCTAGAAAGGCCTTTTCAGAGGAGGAAATTAAAGAAGCCATCATGGGCTCTTATGCTAATGGAGCCCCTGGACCTGATGGTCTATCCTTTTTATTTTACCAGCACTTTTGGGGGGGGGGTAATTAAATAGGATTTGATGGCGCTTGTGAGGGATTTTGAGAGTGGTTCTTTGGATATCCAGAGACTAAACTATTATATAGTCACTCTTATTCCCAAGGAGCCGGATGCCAAAAATATGAAAAAATTTATGCCCATTTGTTTGAGTAATTGTTCTGTGAATTTATTTAGTAAAGCTATGACAAATAGGGTTTCCCCTGTGGGTCACAGGCTACTGTCCCCATGTCAATCCGCTTTTGTGAGAGGCAGATTCATACTAGTAAGTGTAGTTACTGCCCACGCGGCTATCCACGAAGTTCACAAATCTGGAGAGGCTGGGATTGTTCTCAAGTTAGACTATGAGAAAGCTTACAATCGCGTGAACTGGGTTTCCTTGTGGAGATGTTAACATCTAGGGGGTTTGGGCCTAAGTGGATTAGGTGGAACCTGTCCATTTTGCAACAAAGTTCCTTCTGTGTTAAGATTAATGATGTTTTAGGTCCTTATATATTGTGTGTGTGGGGGGAGGATTGAAACAAGGAGATCCTAGCTCCCCCATGCTTTTCAATCTTGTGGCAGATGTGTTTTCTCGTATGTTGGTGAAAGCCATCAATAACAACATTATTTCTGGGATTGTTCCTTATATCATCCCATGTGGGATTATATGCTTGCAATATGCCGACAACACAATATTATTTCTAGACCCTAAGGCTGAATATGTAAGAAACTTAAAATGGCTACTCGCATGTTTTGAAAACCTTTCTGGTTTGAAAATCAATTATGAAAATGCGAAGTGGTGCCAGTAAATATGAATGAAGATGATGCTAAGTTGCTATCTCAAATTTTTTGCTGCAAATTGGGGGATTTCCCTCTTAAGTATCTGGGAGTGCCACTTCACTATCTCAAATTTGAGGAGGGAAGATATCCAATATATTATTGACAAAATCATTAAGAGGATTTGTGGGTGGAAAGGGAGACTACTTAGCTATGTTTCAAAGTTAGGCTTGCTCAAGGCTTGCATTGCTAGTATTCCGATGTACCTAATGTCTGTGATTAAATTCCCTAAGTGGGCTATGAAAG